CATCAATGATAAGAAGTTTGACCAGTTGAGTGTAAGTCCGGTCTCCCGACTTTCGGGTAATGATATCCCACTTCTCAGGGGTTGTGACAATAATTTGAGTTTCTTCGATCTGTTGGCGAGTCAATGTCTGGTCACCACTTAGCTCCCTCACAGTGACACCATAATCCTTCAAACGATTAGAAAGATTTCCAACAACTTCAGCAACAAGAGCTTTCATAGGTGCAACATATACAATCTTATAATCACTGTGGTTTATGGAACCATCCTCCTTGTTCATGTTCAGCGCAAACTGCTGAAGTATAGTGAGCACTGCAACATTAGTTTTTCCAGCACCAGTAGGAGCACATAACAGGATATTGTCCGCTTTGAAAAGCGCAGTCTCATAGACTCTACTTTGTACCCTGTTCAACTGGGTCATTCCTTTGAAAGCTGGCTGAGCCCACTCTGGCATGGCAGATATTTTAACAAGCTTCTCGTCAGGACTAAATGGTCTCGGTTTCAAGGCCGGCACATGGATTTCTTCATATCCCTTGCTGGGATGTCTGTAAGACCCATCTGGAAGCACGCACTTCTTCGAAACCAACAGTCTACTTTGCTCTTGTGCAAGGCTGTCAAGATCAAGCAGCTCTGCCTGCCCTTTCAACCAACCACTGTCAGCGTCTCTATCGACAAGGCCCCTCCTACCCCTGTCCCCATCTCCACCACTCTCACCCTTCAACCTGCGAGCCTCTTCTCTAATACTCTTCTCCAAGTTCTTTTGCCTCTCCTTTGCACTAGCCCTTGTGGCATGCAACTGTTCTACAATTGCAGCCAAATCCGGACCCAGCTGCAACATTTCCTCCTCAATTTTCTTCCTCTCATCTTGATCTTCGGCTCTGGCCAAACGCGTGCACCAGACAATCTTCAGCCGGTTTCGACACAGAAACTTAATAAGGCTGAATTTGTCAAACTGAAGGTGAACCAACAGCTTGGTTTCAACTTCCCTGTCATCACCTTCAGCGAGTATCTTGAGCACCTCTTCAGCAAGCTTCTGGCATTGTTGTGGATCAATCTGTTTCTCATAAGCTTCAGATATCTTCCTCTGAAGCCAATAAGCATCAATGTCCTGAACATTAAGGCTCGTACCCTCATTTGCTTCCTGCAGTTCATCATCATCAATCCCACCACCCATTTGCATAGCCCCAGACTGATGTGGTTCAGCCACATCATCATCGTCCTCTTCCTCGTCCTCCTGGACCATATCAAGATCACTCTCCTCGTCATCATCTTCATTCTCTTCAAACTCAACGGCAACACCCACATCGTCATCAAGCGCTTCATCACCATTAACCACGGCAGACCCTCCAGCATCACCCCCATCTTGAAAGTCAGTAATCAACCTCCCAATCGAAACCAACTGATCAAAGACGGTGTTGGGTATAGGATTCAACATTTTCTCAATCTCCTTTTTCTTATCAGCGTTCTTAAAGTTCTCGTTTTTAAGAACGGCCAAAATCTCATCAGCGGCACCGCTTATTATACTCGAAGGCTGGCCACCCAACTGTTGCTGAATGACGCTGAGCATGGCCTCATAAGCAGCCCTGGTTTCCTTGGTCTTAGGCTGATAAACCCCTTCCTCAGTGGCCGTGAGGACGCTCTCTTCATGAAGCCGCCGCTTTTTACTCTGTCGAACCGGGGCAGGTTCAGCATTCGGGTCCCGCTCCTTCTTCTTCTTCGACTTCTTAAGCTTGTCATCGAGCTCCGGCGGCCTACCCCTGTAAGCCCGGTCACCGAAGTGCTTGGGGTCAATCTTTCCCCATAGAGATTCCGGCTCGCCGGTGGGCTCGTGCGTGTCACGCGGGCGAGAGTCGGTTGTCAGCACCAAACTCGAGTTAGCACGGTACTCGTATTGCTTGAACCGGGCGTGCGCCTCCGCACCGCCGCCCAAATGCTGCGCCATTTCGGGATCTCAATCCGAACCACAGAAACCCTAATAAACAAATTAAAAACCCCCCAAACAAGTCAGTCTAGGGTTTTACTGCAACTTCAATATCAAATCACAACGAATACGTAAAATCCGAATTCGATTAAATACAAGTAAAGCAAAACCCTAGAAATGAACGCAAACAGAAAACCCTAGCGGGAAAAGTAGAGAAGATGAAAACACTCACAGCGAGTTGCGACTTGCGAGTTGAGTGTGTAAACCGACCTTAACGATGATTTGATTTGATTTTCTATCCGCAATTTTCTTGGTTTTATATCGTCTCTGATATAATTTTCAACAGAAATGTGTAGACAAATGTGACCGCCATGGATTACTTGGGCATCCTGAGGATTTGGGCGGAAGCTTTTGTGGGCCAATATGATTTCTATGTGGATCTTTGTCTTGATGGGCTTCGGCACCAATATTGCCCAAAACATAAAAACTGAATTTCTCATCGTTCAATTGAATCGCAATTCATGAACAAACTCTCCACAAAATGATATTTTGATCGAGTTCTAAATCGGTTTTTGTTTAAGTTTTTTATATAACTATATATTTACACTAAATTATGCAGGAATAAAGAATTTTTCATTTTCAAAGTTCAAGTATAAGACATTTCACCAGTAAAGAGTAATACTGTTAAAAATAAATATACGATTTATGGAAGAAGAAACTTTACATGACTTATAAGCGGTTGAACTATTTTACATATTATCTTAGTTTTATGGTGAAACTTCAACTTATTCAGATACCACTAGATAGTGTTCTAAAAAACTTATCATAGTGGAAACTAAATGAGTAATAGTTTCATATTGAAACAATTTATTGGACGATGATCTATGAAAAGATGACAAAGAAATAAAAGGTTCAAAACTTCAAATTAGGGTGAGCAGACAAACCTACAATCGACGAAAAAAAAAAACAACAACAAATAAAAAAAACCAAACAAACAAACAAACCTACAAACCAATCCGGAAGGACCGGTTCAGAATGCGGTTTGATTTTTATAAATTATGGGTTAACCAAATTAAACTGCTTATAATAAAATAATAATACTTGTATTCGCTCATTGGGAGGTGAGCTCATTCCTTACTTGCAAAAACGTATCTTCATCGTAGAAATTTCATGATGAACCGTTCAACTTCTTAATCTTTATTTGAAGGCCATCCCTACAAAGAATTATTAAAATCAAAAATTGTTTAGCCATTTGAATATATCAAATTAATGAATGGTTCACTATGAATATGCTACTTGGTACCCATACCATTGATTTGATTCATAAGTTTGGATAGCCAAACGATCTCCAATTTGAATGGCTTTTTGTAGGAATGATCTTCATTATTGGGTTTAGTCCACTTTATTGGGTTATATCCATTCATTGATTATCCGCATCAACTTTTTTTTTAAATCTTTTTATTAATTGTGATAAATGTCATCCTTATTTATAGGTTTTCTTTTACTCAATTTCAGAATTAAATATTGTTTCTCCTTTTTCTTGTTCCTAATTCGTATCTTAATTTTTTCTTTTACCTCCATCGCAGGTTCTAATTAACTGTGTTAACTAATCTATATGATAGGTTATATATATATATATTAGCACATATCCTAGAATGTTTATAAATGAATGGAAAATAAAATTCCTTTGGACTATTTTCACGGATGATAGGTAGATTAAGTTTTGTTTTATTCAGAGATTATAGGTAGATTAAGTTCCATATATGTTATCATATATGGATCAAAGTACTCTATTTTTTATTTGATTAAACCGAAAACCAAACTAAATCACCGCAACAGTGGTGATTCGATGTAAACGGTTCTTAACCATTGTTGTTTGATTCTGATTTCGAATTTAACAAACTACAATATGTAAAATTTGTGCTGAATTCAGACCTAAAATCGAACCAACCTCAATCACGCCTGGACTTAGTTCGAATTGTTGTAAAAGTATGAGAAAAGAGTATCACTAATCGTCCTTAAAAAAAAGAAAAAAGAAAAAAAAAAGGAGATTCATCTCCTTTAAATAAGGAGAAATGTTAAGGAAACTCTTAAAGTGGAATCCCTATAGACTCTATGTTATTTTATGTTTTTGGCACAATATTTTATAATATTAACACGAGAATTTACGTCAAACTGTGAGGTTTCTTTTCTCTTAAATAAATAATAAAGAAACCTATTTATGATTATATTAATATAGAAAATGAGGAAATTCGATACATGAATATTCTCATTTCTACTTATAGTAACAGTATTATAAGGAATCTAATTGTCATGCATACTAACTATTGAGAGATTTATTTCTTACTATTATTATACACTTATGGAAGTTTTTTAAATATATACATTCTATGTTTATTATAATTTCTATATCTCTTTTAATTTTTCCATGTAAAATAATTTGTCAATTTTAACAAAATTAACATGTGATTTTTTTTGTTTTACTGTATTTTATAATATACATGCATATAGTTACAAAATTTAAATCATTCCCTTTTTCGGTTTTTACCTCCTAATTCTAAATACAGTACTACTTAAGTTGTCAAAACCTAACAAGAAATTGCAATTGTCTTGTAGATTCACTGATTGTAATATAGTTCATGATAAACATTAAAGCGAACCTGGGATTTCCTTATTTAGTCCTTTTTTTCATGTTATTTCCTTTCATATTAGCCAAAAATAATTTTTTTTATTTTTTATTAAAAGTTCCAAAGTTGATATTTTAGCTACCCTATATATATTGACATAAAATTTCATCTCTAAGAATCCTCACCGCAACGCCGTCTCCTCCTCTTCCTCTTTAGTGTAGCAAAAAAAAAAAACTCAATCGGTATTCAGTATGTTTTATTTACTAGCTAGTAGTATTTCAATATCTTGTAACGTACAAATTTAATTTGTGATTTTTTTTTCAGTTTAACGTTTCAAATATAAGTTTATTCAAAGGTTGCCCAAACTAAAGAGCGGTCTGATATGTACAAAGTAGTTTAGGGTTGTTGGTCGAGATGCTTTGATTATGAAAAATGTAGTTTAGGGTTGCCGGACGATGCAATTTAGGGTTACTGGATGGGATTCTAAGTGTACAAAAAGTACTTTAGGAGTGTCAACGGGAATGTTTTGAATATAGTTTAGGGTTGTCATCCAGGATATCTGAATATAAAAATATTAGGATTGCCGGCAACGATGCTCTGAATATTGTGGTGTATCGTATGGAAACAAACAGTCCACGACTATTGTTTACATTTTCCTTATTTACTATTTTCTTGAATATACATTCTACATTTTGTTTATGCAATCACAATACCCTTTTTCACTTAGTTCTTTGGGATAATTACATTTTTGTGTGTGTAATCGTTCATTTTATTTTGATTTTTTATTTTGTCATATTTTATTCTGTAAGATTTGATTGACATTTTTTAAAATGTTTTTACAGGATCTCTATACTTGCTAGCTATGTCAACTGATACCAACTCCTCCAACAACATCCTTGAAGTCACTTCAAAACCTACAAACGAAAAGGTAGTTGAAGACACCTTGGAACCTACGAACGAGATAGAGGTAATGCGTCAACCAGCTTCAGTATAAATTTATTGCATCTATTTAATAAATTGATTGGGTTATTTGAGAGTTTTTCAATGTACCCGATACGGGACGATACGCTATATAGCATATGTATCCATGTTTTGAGCACATTGGAAAAAAATTTGGTTATTTTTATATGCATGTTTGCCTCCCACTATATATATAAATTCTTAAGAAGTTAAAAATTAGATAATATTTTATAACTTATTAAACACTAAACTATTAAACACAAGAATTAGAGCATGCATTGTCACATCCTAGTCTTGACTCCGCTGTAACATGATATTGTCCGTTTTGGGCCTCGGCCATGCCCTCATGATTTTGTTTTTGGGAACTCACATGAGAACTTCCTAGGGGATCACTCATCCTAGGATTGCTCTCGCCCGAACTCACTTAACTTCGGAGTTCCAATGGAATCTAAAACCAGTGAGTCCCCAAAATGTCTCGTGCTATATGGAGGTGGGCATGTACATATAAGGTATATCACCCTATCTTCGTTAATCGATGTGGGATGTTACATGCATGGCAAATTGGCAACATCACGCATCAGTCTGAGTGCTTTCGACTTTCTTAAAGGTTTTCATAATTATGAAATTATGTTAGAGTAGTTACTAACTTTGGAGTAAAATTGGATTTTTTTGTATATAATTTCTAATGAGGGAGCATCGTACCTAGTAGTCATCAATGACTCAAGCTTAGTTTATTCTTAATTGTTTCCTTATTAATTATTAATTAGTACTATAATCATAGACGTCATACAATTATATATATATGCTTGAATGAGTTTGTTTAATATAATTACTAGCATTTGTCTACACACTTTGTGTGTATGAACATATGTTTTTAGAAAATGAGAAGGAGGGAGGGAGAGAGGGAGAGAGGGAGAGAGAGAACGTGGAGGGAGTGAGAGGTTTCTGTTTTTGGTTTTTTTTTTTTTTAATATTTGAGGTATTTTAACATCACATGTAGGTGAGACTTCAATAAAAAACTGTAAAATTTGGACTTATGAAATTACATTATTGCCCATCATTTTTTTTTGTGTGATAGAAAACTAATTTGTCTTTTTACCCTCTTTTGATTGACAAAGAGAGTTTCATTAATTAGTAGAAATATTTACTTTTGAAAATATTATTTTTAAGGGGTTTTTTTTAATTATAATCCTAGATTGAAATTTAAAATAAACCTGGTGTTAGATTACATATTGATTATAGTCCTTTGATATGTCCTTAATTCAAAATAATTAATTTGCATTTTATTTAATATCTCCCATTAAATATTTAAATTTATTAACATACAAAATTTTAATTTATTTTTTGACCAAAAAAGAGTTTTTTAATTATTAATTTTATTTAACATTCTTCAAACTTGAAAGACTCAATTAATGTACCTAAATGTTAGTACCGAAATGTGTGTACCAAAATGTATTATATTGAACTAATGTATTTAAATGTTATTATTGAAATATATGTACTGAAATATATGCACCAAAATATATTATATTAAATTAATGTACCTAAATGTGTGTACCGAAATGTTACATCCCACATAGCCCCCATGTGAGTGGATCTTGTAAGCCTTATATGTATATTCACATCTCTTTCTAGCACGAGGCATTTTGGGAGCTCACTGACTTCGGGTTCTATCGGAACTTCGAAGTTAAGCGAGTTCGCGCAAGAGCAATCACACGATGGATGACCCACTGGGAAGTTCTCAAGTGAGTTCCCAGAAACAAAACCATGAGGGCGTGGTTGGGGCCCAAAGCCGACAATATCGTGCTACTGTAGAGTCGAGCCCAGGATATGGTGGGGGCCCGGGCTGGGATATGACAATTTGGTATTAGAGCCAATCCTTGGCCTGAAGTGTGCCGACGAGGATGTCGGGCCCCTAAGGCGAGGTGGATTGTTACATCCCACATCGCCCAGGGGAGTGGATCTTGTAAGCTTTATATGTATATTCACATCTCTTCCTAACACGAGGCCTTTTGGGAGCTCACTGGCTTCAGATTCCATCGGAACTCCGAAGTTAAGCAAGTTCGCGCGAGAGCAATCCCATGATGGGTGACCCATTGGGAAGTTCTCCTGTGAGTTCCCATAAATAAAACAGTGAGGGTGTGGTTGGGGCTCAAAGCGGACAATATTGTGCTACTATGGAGTCAAGCCCGGGATATGGTGGGGGCCCGGGGTGAGATGTGACAATCGCTCAGGGGAGTGATCCTTATATGTATATTCTCATCCCTACCTAGCACGAGGCCTTTTGGGAGCTTATTGGCTTCGGGTTCCATCGGAACTCCGAAGTTAAGTGAGTAGCGCGCGAGAGCAATCCCATGATGAGTGACCTACTGGAAAGTTATCGTGTGAGTTCCCAGAAACAAAACCGTGAGGGCGTAGTCGGGGCCCAAAGCAGACAATATCGTGTTACGGTGGTGGAGCGGGCCCGGGATGTGGTAGACCCCGGGCCGGGATGTGACAAATTAGTATCAGAGCTTAACCCTAGCCGTGGTATGCCGACGAGGTAATCGGGCCCCTTAAGGAGGGTGAATTGTAAGATCCTACATCGCCTAAAACCCTGAAGTCAAGCGAGTAGCGCGTGAGAGCAATCCCATGATGAGTGACCTACTGGAAAGTTCTCATGTGAGTTCCCAGAAACAAAACCGTAAGGGCGTAGTCGGGGCCCAAAGCAGACAATATCATGCTACGGTGGTGGAGCGGACCCGGGATGTGGTGGACCCCAGGCGGGGATGTGACAAATTGGTTTCAGAGCCTAACCCTAGTCGTGGTATGCCGACGAGGTTATCGGGCCCCTTAAGGGGGTGGATTGTAAGATCCCACATCGCCTAAGGGAGTGATTCTTATATGTATATTATCATCCATACCTAGTACGAGGTATTTTGGGAGGTCACTGACTTCGAATTCCATTGGAACTCCAAAGTTAAGCGAGTAGCGCGCGAGAGCAATCCTATGATGGGTGACCCACTGGGAATTTCTCATGTGAGTTCCCAGAAACAAAACCGTGAGGGTGTAGTCGGGGCCTAAAGCAGACAATATCGTGCTACGGTGGTAAAGCGGGCTCTGGATGTGGTGGACCCTGAGCTGGGATGTGACAAAAATGTATGCACAGAAATGTTAGTACCGAAATATATTATAATGAATTAATGTACCTAAATGTTTGTATTGAAATGTATGTGCCAAAATGTGTGTACCTAATGTCTCTAAATGAAGAAGACAAGTACATCAAAATATATTGTATAACAAAAATTAGTTTATCTAAATGTTTACAACAAAAAATATTACGATAAATGAAATGAAAATTATAATTATAATGAAATAAAATTAATACATATTAAAAATTAGGAAGAAAAAGAGAGATAATGAAAAAATTAAAATATAATTAGTAAATAAAGTTATTGATGTATCAAGGGACTAAAATTAGATTTTAATCTTACTTATGATTTTAATTTAAAAGTCATCTTTATCAATGATTAAAATGAAGTTTTCTATATAATCGTTTTTTCAGCAAGGGCATGCTGCGGATGTGACTAAAGTCGACGCATCACAGCAATCACCAAAGGATGATATCGTAAGCTGATGACAAATGAATTGATATAAAAATAAGCTGATAAATTAATTGATCTTGTAAATAAAGCTAATAAAAATGAAGCTGATCAAATTTTCTTATAAATTCCTGTAGCAGGAGCAAGTAGAATCTGTTGACCCAGACCACGAGCATGCAATGGATGAGACCGTGGCTGATACTGATCTCAAAGGACAAGTGAACGTTGCAGTCGATGAGAAAGTCCATGTTGTGGAAAATGAGCAAGTCGTAATAAAGAATGAACAAGTGGAAGATCTGGCTGAGAAAGTGGACGTCATGGACGATGATCATCAGCAAGGACGTCGAGTGGATGCTGACCGGGTCAGTAGTGATGAGCAAGTGATAGAAGTCATGGATGCGGAGAAAGTAGACATGATGGACGACAATGATCAAGCAACACGTGAACAACCAATTGTTTCGGAGAAACAGGAGAACTCTACTAAAAGTGATGGATCTAATGATGATGAGCAGGATCCTGCAACAATGCTGCCCCGTGATCAACTGTAATATATACACATACTATATATTGAATAATTTGTTCTTTAATTTTGGGACTAATCATGAATTTAATTTGGCATCACAATTAGGCCGGCGGTGGAGGCGCTCCAAAGCCTTGTGAAATCTGAAGTAGGCGGCTTTGCGGAGAAAGTAGACATGATGGACAACGATGATCAAGCAACACATGAACAACCAATTGTTTTTTATGAGAAACAGGAGAATTTGACTAAAACTGATGAATCTAATGATGATGATGAGCACGATCTTGCAACAATGCTTCCTCATGATCAACAGTAATATATATACATATCGTCATGTTGTTGATTAATTAGTTCGTTCTATTGTTTTGGGACTAATCAGGAATTTAATTTGGTATCTTATGTACACAACACAAATAGGCGGGCGGTGGAGGAGTGCCAACCCCATGTGAAATCTGAGGTAGGCAGCGGTGCTGGCAGCACTCCAGTTACTCAAGGGTACTCTAGGTCGTCGCTCTCCACTTATTCTGCATTATCAGGACCATCGTCACTCTTTTCCGCAACTATGGTATTATCTTAGTTTCTCTCGAGTACTACTTTATATATTTATGCTCAGCACTACTAATATACAGCAGTATATATTATATATATAAATTGAAAAATATTTAAGGATACTGTTATTAGGACTTTGAATTGTGACATCTTGCGTAGAGCAACAAAAGTTTTTACTAATATTTGTATTAATTTAAAGAGAAATGCTAGGAGGTCTCTCAAAGTGAGACCGTCTCTTCAATGGACTATTTGTCACTCCACTATTTAATGTTAATTTCTATGGTAATATTATAAAATATTGTATTAAAAATATGAGATGACAGAGAGTTCAAGGAGAGTCTCACTTTTGAGAAAGTCCCCTTAGCATTTCTCAAATTTAAAATGCATGATGACGTTTTTAAATTGTCAATAACAACTCTCATATTTTAGAATGCATATGTATGTTATTCCTTTCATATTAAGTTTTTACTGAGCAATTACCATACGGTTATTGTTCTTGTTTAGGTGGATTATGCACCTCAAGAAAATGACTTCATCCAATACTTACTCAACTCTGAGCCAATTCCCATGAGCCTTCCCATGAACCTTATCCTTGGGAATAATCAGCACTCAAATGTTTCTCGGCCAAAGGGCATCCAGCAGGCCAATCGCCAACATTTTCAGCAAATGCCTATGTATGTGTGTATATATATTGGGAATATTTTGTTCACCACCCTCAAGTGATGATGATGCTCACCATCATATTTATTATTGTTAGATGAGTTTAAATTTCGAAATTTGTATAGTAGATAGACACAGGTCTCAAAATTTAAACTCATTCAACGGTAATAAGTAGAGTGATGAACATTACCGCAACTTGAGGGTGGTAAGCAAAAATGCACCTATATATATTAGCTAACTAGCTGAGTATATATAGTTATATATAATTAATATTGACAACAATTTACAGTGTCATATTGGTTATCAATGCTTCACCAACCATTATACCAAAAATACTAGTAATTCAACATAATATATAATTGTGGTAAATGGTTCCCAATGAATTACATTAACCCTAGCTGCTTCTTAATTCTTTGTTTAGCTTTATACAAAACATGGCCTCATCAGAAGACAACAACAGCAACCGTGCTTATGGAAACTTGCCTCAGGATCTTCGATTGGACTCGTCCATGCTCCCAGTGCTGGTGAGGAGTCAATTAATACTACCCAAAATCTTTGATTTCCCTAGCTACTTTGAAAGATTGCTTCCTTTTTTTACTAAATTCGATGATAAAAATGGTCTTTATTATTACATTTGTTTAATTATGTTGTCTTTTGTCTATATATGCAGCCACAGTTGGAGGATGGAAATGATGGATCCCCCTTTCTGAGGCCACAAACTAATTTGAACCCCCATACAAATCTTTTGGGGTATGCTCATATTCATATACTCAAATGATGCTTTGCCTTATCATGGTGATTCTCATTCATGTATATATATATATGCATACTAGACTCTTACCGTACGTGTATTTTTATTTTTTTTTATTTTAGTTATTTTAGATAATATCGTTTGTTTAAATAAAAAGTTATTTTAGATTTTTTTTATTAAAACGTATTTTTTTAAAAATAATGGATTTACTAACCACCTTACTTGTTTTTTTTTTTTTTAATTTTAATGAGGGAAGGACAATTTGGGTATACAAACCTGTATTTTTTTTTATTGATACATGTCTGTGTTGAAAAAAAAATAGTTATTAAAATCTTCCAATTAACTTAGCTTTTTGGTAAGTGAGATTTTAGATTTTTATTATTTTTGTTATTGTTTTGTAATTAAACTTCCCGATTAACCTGCCTATTTGGTACGTGACAGCTGACAACCCAATATTTCATATTTTCAGTATTTTGTTCTAGAGCTAATTATTATTATTATTTTGCTAGAATTCTATAGCTAATTATTATTTGCATTTAAATAGAGGGTTGTGAATGGAATTATGTTTAACATTACATGAATATTAATATATTCAGAGCAGTGATATCTACACACTTAATAATACATGGATATTAATATATTTAAGGTAGTACTATCCATACATCTGTTTTTACCTTCTACACATTCTTCTCAATTTTCGATTGTTGGATCAAATGATTAAAGATGATTAATTGACATAAATTAACCGTTAGACTGTTAGTGTGTGAAAAGTAAAAAAAAATGTGTGCATAGCATCACCTGTTATTTATATGGAAAAAAAAAAGAGAGAAAATATATGAAATGATACATTGTACTTATTTTTTATATCTTAAATTGAAAAACATTAACATTGTATCCAGTCATTTCAATCAAATATGGTATTGCCAAAATTCCCTTTTTTCTTTCAAACTTTCCGGTCTAAATATTAGCTTTCCAGACATAGGTTAAATGGAAATTATCAATTTTTATTTGATTTTTCTTCTGTCAAAGAAATTAGTACTCACTAACATAAAATATTGACTTGCGTCATCTATACAGGGCACAAGAAATACAATCTCAGGGCTTGACCCCTAGCCAAGCTGCTCCTGCTGTCAATGGCAGCTTTTATTCTCCTGGAACCAATTTCAGTCAGATGAACCCGTTTGATAACATCCCCGTAGTTCCTCAAGTATGCGTTATTCTTCCCCAATTTTATAATCAATCACAATATATCATGAGGTGTATGTGGTTGTTCTTATTGATTTAAATTTAATTTGTCTCTATCACAATATTCTGTTTTAAATAAAATGAAGCCAAAGTTTCTACAGTAAAACTAATCCGCAGACCTACATATCACACATGAATATAATTAAAACTGACTCTCGGATAAATTATTTCATAAATATCACCATCAATAGATGATTTTATGGTAGAAGAAATTTGTTTTTTCTCAAAGCTGCCTAGTTTTTTCATGTTATTCATCCCTTCGCATCAACGTCTTGAATCGATATTTAGTTACAAATTCATTTTTCAGCAGGGGATGCCTGCCAACTTTCTGAACCGAAACAATGCATACCAGCCAGTGGCTGGAGAGTTGCCGAGGGCTACCCCTAGACCTAGGGTACGTACTAATCTATTTTGTTTTAATTATTTCATTTTTCATCAGTGATATGATATTTATCTGCAGACTCTGGTTGATATATTGTTCGTATATGTGTAGATTTCGATGAGCAACTGGCAAGAGAATGTGAATATTCCAGCACAGAATCTCTTAGCCAATAATAATTGGCTTCCTCAGGGTCAGTCCTCGCAGGGACTACAGAACTATAGCAACAATGCTTCTGCTTCCAGTTCTAGGTAAAATTATTAATCATCAATGATTAATTTAATTGTGATTTCTTTTAATTATTTGGTGATTAATTATGAATATATTGTCATGAAAACTGACAATTAATCTCCTAAAATATCAAATTAATTGTGTAAAAATCCTGGCAGGGCCATTAAAAACGCACTGTATGATCCTAAGTACGAAGCCATGGGACTTCCGATAGATCCCCACCTACGCCTCTTTCTCGCCCAGCAGAGGCGTGAAAATGATCGGTAATTGTCCTCAATTTTTATAATTATTAGGGGTATCATACTAATTAGTAATTAACTGAGTTCGAATGTGGCTAATAATAATTATAAATTCATTTGGATTTTGATGGTTGCAGGACGCAGTGACTTGCCTTGAGAGCAGTTCTATCGGAGCTATATCGATCGTCCGGTTGTTGCAGACAAGTTGCCGTCTGATTTTTAATTAAGTAATAATAATCATAAACCCCTGAAACTATATTGATAGGGTTTGCATGGTTTGTTTGAAATTCTCGGATAATTAATTGTTTGGTTAATTTCTGTATGGACAAATTAAGTTGAATTTTGAATAACTATTGCTTATTGCTAGAACATTTTTGGATGCATGTTTACTAAAGTCTTGTTTGGAAGTGTTTCTAAGTGACTAAAGTTTCGTTTGAAAGTGATTTTAAGTGACTAAAAGCGCTTTTGGTGAAATTAATTTTGAGTTATAAAAGCACTTTAAGTGTTTTTTGAAGAAGCATTATATATGTCCTTCTTGCAGTAGGAAGCACTTAAAGTGCTTTTCCACGATCCAATTGGATTTTAACTAAAAATTGGTTTCAAAAACATTTTCACCAAAAATAGTTTAGTCATTTTAAAAACACTTTCAAACGAGCCCTAATTTTCTAGCGCTACAAAATCAATATATTTACTCTTTCTGTTAAGTAAAAAAGATGTAGGCATACAAAATCATCGAGCAGTTACGTTAAATTTTTTAGAGTTGAGTGTAAGTTCCTTATGTGTGTCATATCATCAACTGAACAACATTTTTACAGAAGTTGACGACTAGGACTATTTGTGCACATTTGTTAATTAAAAACCAATTGTAAAGTAGGATAATTTTAGGAATCAATTCTAAATTTTGCTCAATAAATAAACCTGTTTTTGTTTAAAATATGATATTGTAAATTTTCACTCTACAAGTAGAAGAATTTAAACCAGAATGCATAGTATGGAACACATCGCTCTAGACATTTTAACTATTGTCTCATTTGCAACAAACCATTTAGTTTGTGTTTATTTCATAAATAAGACAATTGATTATTTAAACTACACATTAATCATGTCAACAAAATTAAGAAAAAATAATCAAAATAAAAGTTATGAGAAATATAGTAAATTATAAACAAAATAATTTTATTTGTTTTCAAGGCCTCACAGCCAGTTATATAGATTGTCCCAATTTTCTCTTCAACGTTTTTCTCTCAAATAATGTTTTAGTGACGAAATAATATCTAGAAATCTTCACAGAAAATATGAACATTCTCTTTAGCAACAAAAAATCATTCGAAACGTTTTAGCGATCAATTTATATTTTCTCTCTTTATAATTTTTACTTTAAAATTTTAATAAGTACATACTTTACATGTGTACTATTGCTGTTGATCTTCTATTTCTTTTTTTTTTGGAAAAAGTTTGACTGTAGCAAAACTACAGCAAAAACTTCCTCAACTTTTATTAAATAACAAACCCAAAATTACAAGCAAACCAAAAGCCCAACTAACAAATATACACAACCAAAAAAGGGCAGAAACCAACAGAAAAACCGAAGAGGCCTCACAACAGTGAAGCCCAAAAAACACACAACAGCCAACCGAGAAACTTCTACAAAAATCTTCTCCACCGACAGACATCCAAGCCAGCCTCTGGAAACGTCAGCCACCACCGAGTATTGCCGCCTCAAACACCACCGCCAACCTAGAACAACAACCAGATCACAGCCATTAACAGGAGATAGTTGGCACCAAAGATGGATTGGCCAACTACCAGTAAGAAGCTCGTGGAAACTCATAAGCAACACTGCCGACAACAGCAGACAACAAGGAGAACGTGGTGGTATGGGAAACACCCGAGCCAGGAAAAACATCCCAGCTCTACACACGAACTCAAAAGGAACTATGGCTTAAGATCAGATTGAAGAAGAGATGGGGAGAGGTATACTGATGGGAGATGAAGAACAGGACAAGTCGTAGTGGAAAAAAAGGAAAAGCATCTGGAGAGGCAAAAAGAAAAGAAGAAGAATAAGAAGAAGAAGAAGATCAGACTGAGGAAGAGATGGGGAGAGGTATACTGACGGGAGATGAAGAACATGACAGACGGGAGGGGGAAAAAGGGAGAAGCATTTGGAGAGGCAAAAAGAGATCAGACTGAGGAAAAGATGGGGAGAGGTATACTGACGGAAGATGAAGCACATGACAGGCCATAGGGAAGAGATGGGGAGAGGTATACTGACGGAAGATGAAGCACATGACATGCCACATGGGAAAAAAAGGGAAAAGCATCAGGCCGGAGGGGAAAAAAGGGAGAAGCATCTGGAGAGGCGAAAAGAAAAGAAGAATAAGAAGAACAGAAGAAAGAGGACACGACAGAGAAGGGGAAAAGAGGAGAAAACATAAGAAGAAAAAGAAAAGTGGTAACCGACTCCAGCCAATGCCAGAGTTGGCGCTTGAGAAGGTGGACAAGATGAAGGCCCTCAGCAAAAGGAGGGAATAAACTCTCACAGAAGGAGAGAATGTTTCTCATGGAAGAAGAGAAGGTCTCTATTGCTGTTGATCTTTATGACAAGAATACTTTAGAGATTACTAGGAAATAAAGGAGAGAAGGTCTCTATTGCTGTTGATCTTTATGACAAGAATACTTTAGAGATTACTAGGAAATAAGCCCGCACGTTGCGGCGGGAACTAACTATTTCAAGCATAGCTGTATGAAGAAGACACATTTCAGGTGTAACTGCATGAATAAAACACAAAGTTAGTAAGTAAAGCTCATATTTTTAGCAGTGTTATTTTAACAACAATTATTCAAGTGATTAATTGCCCCGGTGGGTAGGGCATTTCTCATAGTCCTACTGCATTCTATGTCTAATAGGAATTTAATTGCCCATTCTATGCCATGGAGTGGTGCCGAAAGATTATTTTATGGGTTTACTGTTGAAAGATCTGGAAAATACTCCTCGTGTTTTTTGCAAAAGGCGTGCAGCAGCCAAAGGTAAGCTTATATTTCATTCTTTTCAAATGGCTGCCATATTATTGTTTTTATATATGTCCATGGATTATATAACATCCTATCAAATTTATTTTTCCTTTCACTATTTCTCGTTCCTTGATGGGTTTAGTTCCTTCATCACCAAAGTGTGGCAAGAAACACCAAACATTAATGACAAATTTTTAGTTGCGATTGAAAGCATGAAAAATTTTAATTTTTAAGTTATTAATCTTTTAATACACATAATTTACTATTTATATAAAGACATGTAGTATACCAGCTCATGTGACAATTACATTGAAAAATTTCTTTTGATGATAAAGACGTGTGTGCTTATTTCAGAATGGCAAGCCCGTAAATAACCCAATGACAGATTTGTAAATAAAATGAAATTCAGTCCAAAACACTGTTCACATGAACAGTACCAAATGCAATGCTTTCTTTAGACTAAAGTGAGTACAGACAAACCGAAGTGTAATGGTCCTTGTCTGTCAAGCTGTCATGCATGTGTTTTGGGTCGGGTCGGGTTGGGTGAGTGAGAAGATACCGAATCCCCGACGCAAACGGATTTTAGTTGGCGGGTACGTAACTGCTAACTCAGCCAAAAGATACTCCCTCACGAACTTGAGAGCTAGAAAACGACCACGTTTGGCCCCTGCATTATCATCATCTTCTTCTTCCTCCTCCTTCCCTCTCTTCCTCAACCGCCGATCCCCGACGGCTGAGGGCCACATTTGGCCCCTGCATTATCATCATCTTCTTCTTCCTAAACCGCCAATCCCCGACGGCTGAGGGCCACCGCCAATGGCGGCCGCCGCCACCATTCCTCTTCTGCAGTTCGTCCCCGCCAAAACCTTCCAGGCCAAGCACCACTCCAACAGGCTCCGACCAACCAAACAGAGAGGTCCATTTCTCCTGAAAGTTTCGATCTTTGATCTTCTTTGAGCTTCTTTGAGCTTCTTTTTGCTTAATTCCTACTTTTTTGTTGATAATTTTGGTGGGTTTTGTTTTGCAGGAAGTTTTGGTTTGTCTATGATTACATGCGCGTCTTCTAATGGAAGAGAGCCTGATTCTGCCGACGGCGGCGTCAAGAGCGTGGAACGTTTGCTGGAAAAGAAGCGGCGCGCCGAGCTCTCTGCTCGGATTTCTTCAGGAGAGTTCACTGTGGAGAAATCTGGGTAATATGATTATTAATGATTGAAATTCTGCGTTTAGTTTTGATCTGTTTTGGAAGTTTCCGCTGCATTTGATCAAATTCACTTAATAATTTGTTTAATGAATTCTAATTATACTTAATTATAGCAAAAGCTAGGTGTATAAGTTCAATTTTATTAAGTATTTGGTGACTAAAAGTCGAAAACGTTTTTTTTTTTTTGCTGTTCTTAATTGTCTGAAGAAAGTCTGTTACTTTTTTTTATGGACTTGTGGAAGTAAATTCTTATCTGGGGAAGCTTTATTTTTGTGTTATTATACATCCACATTTGCGTTTATGCATTTCTAACTCTGAGTCTCTTGAATGTGGTAATTAGTTTTCCATCTCAATTGAAGAGTGGTTTGTCGAAGGTTGGTGTTCCTACTGGGCTACTAGATTTCTTGTTCAGCTGGGCTGATGCACCTGAAAACTATCCAAAAATTCCGGAGGCAAAAGGAGCGATCAGTGCCATTCAAAGTGAGGCCTTTTTCGTCCCGCTGTTTGAACTTTACCTCACATATGGTGGAATTTACAGGCTGACATTTGGACCAAAGGTCTTTTCATTTCTAATATCCATCTCATTGATTAATACTACTCTCTCTCAAGCTTAGTGGATTGTGTTGACGGAAAGGGCGTCGTTCTGAATGAATTACTTGTTGGTTCTTGCTGCAGTCCTTTTTGATAGTTTCTGATCCCGCGATTGCCAAACATATATTAAGAGAAAATTCAAAGGCTTATTCAAAGGTAAACCAAATTGATAATGTCTTTTCCTGTCCTCTCTCTCTGCCTCTTCCTTTCTTAAGTGATATATACTTTGCGCACAGGGAATCTTGGCTGAAATTCTAGAATTTGTTATGGGGACTGGACTCATTCCCGCAGACGGTGAAATATGGCGCGTTCGACGACGTGCTATAGTTCCCGCATTGCATCA